GTAAGACAACACACACATTTAAAACACACACACACACACACCAGGGAAGCACCAGTACACGCACCTCACCTCTGATGCCAACAACAAACTACAGTCGCAAGTGCCAGGCACAAATGTGATTCATACTTGAACTGACCCGTAGAGTCGGTCAGCTATTTGCCCAGCAGTATTGCTTTAACATCTGTTGAAGTTAAATAAAGCACAAGTGGAATTCAAGTCATTTTTTGCAGCAATGTCCGTGCAGTTCTGTAATGTTACTGTGGTAACAGCTGCTCCTTCGTCAACTATTTGGTCTCCAGCCAAACATGTCAAGAACTCATCAATCTGCCTGCCTGGTCTCCTCTATCTCCTTCTATGCTTTCAGCACTTCTCAGTCTTACGTTGTTCTTGGTGCAATGTAAACCTTTCTCTTTGTTTATCAAAGCTGTGGTTGTACTGGTTCATCATGTCACAAGGGGACACAAATGTGATTCCTTGGCTTCCTATCACTTGTCTCCACCCTGATATCCAACCTGCTCTGTGCTCTATATAAAGGACCGATGGTAGAAATCCATGTAGGGATATTATGGATGCATTACAGAGAAGTTGTTCCTATCTTTAGGTTACGCCTGTTTGCTGAACTACCGTCCAACACCTCATGAGTCACAACCCTTAAAGATAAGGGGTGTTTTCATGTCGTCGGTTGTGTTGGCATATCCTATTAGATCTGAAACACCATCAACTGTGGTTGTGGTCTCTGGGAGAAACATGCCTCCCCACCGGGCCAGTGTTAAGTGGATGAATGACAGTAAGAGGTCAGTGATGGCTGAATGGTAATGGACACTTAGCCAGGAAAGCAACGAGAGCAGGCGAGGGATGTGGGAAAGAGACGACCCTTTTTTTTTTTTTTTTTTTTTTTTTTTTTTTTTTTTTTTTTTTTTTTCTGATTACAAAATTATTTATAGTTGAGATACTATGCTAGTGACAACTGCAACATAACACATTCACAGATGCTGGAAGAGAACAATAGCTATGTGTCAGCACAGTCATGTATTTGGTTACTTTGGATAGCTTTGGCTACCATTATAGCAGCATGTGCAGAAAGCAAGTTAAGTGAAATGTTGTTATCCCACCAGCAGATCTATGAATTTCATTTAAAAAGTTGGGACAGGTCAAGAAATAGCCGTAGATTATTACTCGTGGACTAAAAATTGATAAATGCTAATGATTTTGGGATTTGGACGTTCAAAGAACACTCTTAAGCTCAGCCAATCAGAGCTATTTGTTTTGGGGGCGACCAGTGTGACCTGATGACTGGACAAATCAGTCTGTGAGAAGTATGTTAAGCGTTACTAAAGTATAAGATAGATTTTATAACTAAAATGTCACGGTGACTGTTTAATTGCTATTATTACTAGTTTTATTATAACTGTGTATAGACGTGTAACTGCTTTGTAACTTTAAACCATCTTTGGGGTCAGCTATTACCTGTAACGGCACTTCCAACAAGTTGGAGAAGCATCGATCTGGACAGTTAGGAGACACGAATGCAACTCAAAAAATTGTCATATTGGCAAAAAGCACGAAAACATCACCCGGCTGAAAGAAATGAGAATAATCCTTTAAGTCGGATCCAGTGCCCTCTGAGTAGAGTTGTTAAGCCAAGTCAGGTCTTTACATTCTTTCCCTCTGTTCTTACGAGACGCTTTGTACAGCCTTGAGCCCTGTGTCTGTATGAACCACTTGTGTAATGAAAGAATAACACGGTGCTGTTGGGTTTGCCGAGCAGAGTTCGTCTCAATGTAAGCCCTCTGACATGCGGCTAGAATGCCCATTTGTTGACATGAGATCCGTGCTTGTGGGAGCGGTTGTTTTGAATATCTGTAGGATATTGATCACTGCTATGTACATTAGTGCACGCAGAGCATATTTTCCCACTCCGCCCTACCCAGAGTGATGAGAGCAGATGAGTGGGGAGCGGTGGAGTACTGGTGTAATGGTACGATTGAATGTATTTTCATGTCTATTAATGATCTCGCAGTACTTGAGATGGCCATTTACAATAACTTGGAGAAGCTCGCAACACGAGCATGAGCCGCGATACAGTCTCAGTCAGCTGTATGTTGACGTTAGCTGCAATACTGAGGCATGTGCACACCTTAACAGAGATTTCTACGGTTTGAAAGATCTGATGTGATGCTAGCACTTGCACACACTGACACTGCAGCACTGATTGGGAATCCAAATTGCACACACATTGTTCAACAGCGCTGTTAACACGGTTGTAAGTTAGTGTTTTGGATGCTTTGTTCATGTAAACGTGTATATATCTGCCCACTGTGTTCTCTGCTCTGGTTAGCTCTTCCCTTTTCAAGGAACACTTTCCATTTCACCGTTGAGGTTGAAGCAATCCATAGACCGCAGTTTCTCCATCCTGTGCGAGTGTGTCGTCGGGTTGTGTGTGGCACTCTGCGATGATCGGTGTGTTATCAAGCAGTAGTTTCCAAGGCTTCCATCGAGCCCCTTCCTCCTCAGATTGTCCCCTATTTAGTGATCAGCCCTTTCTCTCCTTCAACCTTCCATTCATCCGCTCTTTGTTATGTCGGTTCCCTCGACACACCCTTCCTGTCTCGGGGAAGCTGGCAATTGCTAATGTTATTAAGGGAAAAGCCTTCTCCCCTGACAGATTTAAATCATTGCTATTGGACCTGTTGGTTTAGTAGGCCTCGCTTCCAAAACCAACCACATTCTCCTTGTTTGTGGCTGATAGCAGAGCCTACACCTGTGTGCGTGTCCATTCAGCAGAGCAATGGAATAATCTCGGTGCTGAAAAGTTTTTTTTGTTGTAATTGTTTGGCCAATAAACCTGTCTGTAGATTAATGCAGGCTTCATCAAAAGAGAAAGTAGAAAGAGTCCAGTTGAGGTACAGTGCTGAGGCTGCTAAAGGCCCCAATTTCACTGAATAATAAATGGTATGAGATTATGAAAGAGCCTCTAAAAGGCTTTACGACTGCGTTTCTTCTAGCTGCTGTGTATTGGGGCCTCTCTTCAACATGTTCCAGCAAAGGCAATGTTTGTCCTGTGTGCTGCTCAGGTGAGGGTGTGTTATGGGTGTGTTTTAGGTTGAGCAACGCACACGTACGATAGGAATCTTTTTTTCGCTAGCATTTACGAGACCTGGCTTTAAGATTTTTTGGCATATTTACAACAGTCTACAGTGACAGGTAGAAGAGAGTAATGACATCATACCAAGTGTATGTTGAAACTTCCATACCTCTGCACACCTGTTCAATTTCTGCATTAAATGTGCATGACTGCATGACTTCTGAAAAATCCAGAACTTGTCTGTGGCAGCCTTTTTTAATTCAGCTGTCAGAAAGGTGTCTTCAGAGCCAGCTGCTTGAACTGAAGTGCTCGTCTTAAAGCTTTCAGATCGACTGGGCTGCTTCCAACTAGACCTGTTGCGAGATACCGTTATTTATGATAACCGTGATATTTTAAATATATAATATATTGATCTGTTGAAATACACTTGTGATATTGTATAAATAATTTAGTGCCTCTTAAGTCATTTCCATTCCTTACCGTTATTGCTTTGTCTGCCTCCACCAAGTCAAGTTTTTTTTTCTTTATATATAGCGATAAAACTTATCGTGAATTCTTTTGATTATTAAAATTGTGTTGTGGAAATTCCATATCCTGACAGCCCTACTTCCGTCAATTTCTTTCCAAATCCAACAATCTAACAAGCTTCACTCATAATTTGACCAGGTGTGCGAAGGTGAGATTGTTTTTGTTCGTACAACAAAGAGCCTTAAGGAGAGACCGATACTGTAGCGAGCCACTCACGAATGTTTCTATAGTTCAGACTTACTGTCGCACATCTTTCTCTGTAGCTTATTCTTTGAGGAAGACCTACTCATCTAGCTAAATAAGCATTTGATTGACCCCAAGATCACTAGATAAGTGGAGTATATGGTTAATATGTCCGATTTGGACGGGGGGTATTGTTCATTGTCAATGGAAGGACTCTTAAGTGTGTGTGTGTGTGTATTTAAGGGTAAGTGGCGTGACCCTGTGATGTCAAAGAGAAAAGTTCAGAGTGCAGTAAATCCTTGAGAAGAGGATGAAGTTGAGAACAAGTGCTTTCTCTGATGCAGGGAGCAATGATGAATGTCACGCTCACTGTTCTGTTTTATTTTTTCCTGTCAGGAAGGGCTCAGCTGATGAATGACATCCGGCACTGCTGTTTCTCTCACTCTCTTCAGCTATCTTGTGTTCCCTCAATCCACAGTCGCGCTCTTCTTTCTTATTCATTGTCTCGCTTGTGCTCCTTTTTTGAAGTACTCTTGTTGTATCGCTGCTCTCGGGTACACAAAGAAAACAAGGATAGCATTCATGAAGCTCTAACACTGAGAACTCTGATCCTCTGCCACTGCGCACATAAGCATCACTAGTGCACGGCTCTCACAGTCTAGGAACCTGGGCAATCACAGAGCCAGGTGTATCACATTTCTCTGTCCACCCCTCAGGCAACATCTGAGGACAGAAGGGTTTTCTATTGTTTTTCCCCTATATAGGCCATGGTTATCGGTTCATGAGCAGGCGTGCCTCTGTGGGCCCTGTGTGCTTTTGAGACAGTATGTCCTCTGTACCAGCCTCATTAAAAGAGGCACGGTTCAGTGGACCGCAAACACACACTCGATCACCCACCCATTTTTTTTTTTTTTGGTCCTGACTCCATTAACTCATCCGTTCACCTTTTCATTACTGTACCGCTGCTCGAGCTCGACGGGATGCAGCTCTGTGAGCAACACTGCTCTTCAGTAGCACTGATGACATCGATTACCCAACTACTGTTTGAGCTTGACTCGGCAATATAAAGCTAAATGCACAAATATTTACCGAACTTAACTGAAGTTCAGATGTCTAGTGTCAAGTGAGAGCTGCTGCAATGTTGGTGTCACTCCAACTGGTCTGTTCCTGTTTGATTCCTCCTCATTTATTCATAATAAATCAGGTGCAGCAGAAGCAAGGTGACAGTGGCGAAGAGGAGGGGAAGGACTCGGGAACACCGGTCCGTGACACTGACAGCCAGTATGGGACCTGGGAGGCCGGACTGCGCACTGATGACAGGTAAACATACTGTAGTCGTGATGTCGGATGTCATGTATTTTTATTTGTGGAGAGCGTTAATGTTCCGGTTCCAAAAAAGTGTGTTATAACTGGATTCAGATGGACTTAATTGAAACAAGTCGATCATTAGCTCATGTTTGCTTAAAAAGGCCGAATCACTGGATGCCTGTGGCATGTCACACTGCATGGATTGGCCGAGCAGCCAGCAGACTTAAGCGAAGTACACACTGCACCACTTTCAAAGTCAGCAGATAGCTGTACTGTACACAACTTCCTGTCTTCTAGTCGGGAGTTTTGGAGTCGTCGTGGTTTTCATACTACATTACTGACTGGGAATCCCAGATACGGTCTATAAACTATACACACACACACTAGCGTATTCATACTTGTTGATGTTGTTTTTGACACGTGTTCACATAGTAGCCTGTTTCCACACCTCCTTACTATTTTCCCCATGTAAATCAGTCACTGTTATGTTTATCCATGCAAACATCCAACATCCTGGGTGCAACAACAACAACTTTGGTCTGTGTTGCAAATGCTACAAGCTACAGGCGAGGCAACCCGTCCACCAGGTTTCCCCCTCAGCCCCGAGGCTCTCATTGGCTGTGGCTCCCTGACAGACTCCTGAAGTTGTGTAGCGTGAAATTACTCGCAACAGCTCTTCCGCTGTTGGTTTAAGTCACGGCATCTCCCGACAGGACAACACCACGGTTGAATTTCAGCCTGCGTGCATTTTTCCAGGCAAAACATTTTTTTAAACCGACTAGCTAATATTGGTAGCCAGAGCAACAAGTTGGCAGACTGCCGAGTGTTCAAAGCTGTACATCAGTAAACGGTAAATCAAAGCAAAATACAGTGAAGTCTCCCACTGAGCTGAAATGACACCAAACTCCAGATTATGCTCTTTCACTGCATCCATGCAGAATTATCCAAAATATGAACAATTTAAAGGAACAGTGTGTAACATTTAGGGGGATTAATAATATAATATTCATAACTATGTTGTAATCGGTGTATAATCTTACATGAATCTAAGAATCTGTGTTTTTGTTTTAAAACGACATTTATATCTACTGAGGGGGGGGGTCGTCTTCCACGACCTTAATTGAAACCTGACAATCATTCGCTTTTATTGGCTTAAAAAGGCACTCAGTGCTATGGATTTAACACTGTGGTGGGAAAGTGTGTTATGCGGAACAAATCGGTTAATGCCTTTTATTAAAAGTGCAAAAGCTCAGAAACAAATCTTCCCTGTTCTGGAAAAAAAATGACTTTTTCTCTGCGTATTATTCACGTTCTGTGTGAAAGTATGAAAGAAATCACCCTCGGTGTGTAAAGGCTTCAAATCACCAGAGATGAGATTTAAGATTCTAACCATCTCCCTTTGTTGAGGATGCTCTAATGAAAAATAAGAAACTGTGTACAATGTCTTTTTTTTTTTTATTGTTTAATACCTAAAAATGATTGGCTTGAACAGACTTAATCCAAACATTAGTTAATCCTGCTAACGAGCATGGTTTGCCTGCGTAGCCACAGCCTGGTAATGGTGAGACCTCTATGCCACAGAAAGCCATCGTTGTATCAGGATAAACCAACAAACTATTTGTTGGTTTTCATATCTTTGGTGAAAAGAAAAGTTTAAATAACTCCAGCGCTGCCCTGTAACACAGACACTGACCTCCTGTGGTCAGAAAATAACATCACAACATTTACCAAAACCAACATGAATGTAGTTATTCAATGCAATTTTGTAAAAAGAAAAAAAGAAGTGAAATAGTTGTCTATTACATATATATTTGTATAAGAATCTCTGTTGTTTTCGGCTTGCAGTTTGATTGTTGGTGTGTCAGCTAAGTCATAACTTCCTAAAGTCAAGTCAACAAAAGGAAAGTTATGACTCGGACCCGGTTTGATTGTAACTGCGGTAACAGCAACCACACAGTTGTTTTCAAAGGTGTTTCCTAACTATCTCTTTTTACTATTTCAGCCTCACTCCTGCCACTCCCAGCTCGGAAAGCAATCTCAGCCCTTCACCAAGGAAGCCCACCTCCCCACGCGCGCTCGGTGATCAGGCCTCACGGTTTGATACCGACACTCTGGACAGCCTGCTTCCCTCCTCCCCATCTGAGCCGCTACCCTTCCCTGATGTAAGTGTGATTTGAGTTCACCACAGACCGGTTCTTTTGATGGCACATGTGCCTTCACCAGTGGCTCATGTCGGATGCTGTTTTTAAGATGTCACCGTTTGTGTCAGCAAAAACTGAGAAATAATACTTTTCAAGTTTTAGCAACCAATGTGTGTCGAGAATGCATTGTCACTTGTATGTTTGTATACAAGCTGATGTATTCCTCTTGTGTCTGCGTGTCCAGACCCCGACCGCTCTCTTAGACACCAGTGCTCTTCGCTCCAGAGCACAGCTGGGGAAGAAACGAACGCCGCGGACACGACCCTCCAGGGCTGCTCGTCAGACGGCTGCGCTGTCGGAGGGAGAGGGAGGAACCACGGAGGACTGGCTTTACACAGACTCCACAGGTTCGCACCAAAAACGAGCTTAAATGTTGATACGGTTCTATTCCATCAGATGAGCTTCTCCTTCAGTATATGAGAAATGTGAAAATGATGCACTCGAAGTTTTATTGTGTTGTCTAGAGGCACGTTTTAATGTTTTACTGCACACCATCCCATAGGCTGCCTCTTTTTAACTGACTGTTCAGTATGCTCGCATATTCCAATGCTACGTGTTCTCGCTGTGACAGAGGCAAAGGTTGAGAGTAAGGACGATGACTCGTCTGAGGAGCCGGCCAAAGGAGTAGACGCCAGCCCGGCTGTTTCCTCTCAGCCACAGAGGGTTGCCCTGTTCCCTGGGATGGACCCTTCAGCTTTAAAGGTGATTCTCACTTGTGGTTTGTCAGATGTATTTACCATATGAGTATGTAATATTTATTTTATACAACACAAAGATGTATTGTTTTGCCCTCCTGTAAAATGTTCCTAAATGTGTCCCGTTCCTGTTGTCAGGCCCAGCTGAAGAAGAGGGGCGACTCTGACAATCAAATCGATGGATCCACTCCCTCTCCTTCGCAGCTTTCTCGCTCTCCCAAGTCCCCCTTTCTTCGCAGGGCAGCGCGTGTACTGCCCCCTCCTGGTGGGAAAGAGAACGGGTAAGCCCTGAAAGTTACAGAGAATGTGTTTTTCTTTTGGAGACAAAAACGTGTTTAGCTGTTAGCCCCTGAACTAACTGTGCTTTCTGTCTCTTATTCATGTAGTGAGGAGGACTCACCGCAGTGGTTGAAAGAGCTGAAGTCCAAGAAGCGCTTAAGTCAGTATGATAATGACAGCTAAGTAAATAATGAGGTGAGAGAGTTTTTGAATGTCCTCTACATCTTTCCCTGTGCGTATTAAACATGAAGATATATAATTTCCATTTTTGACACCAGTTTTCCTCTCCCGCTCCCCTCTAGGTTGCCTTAACAGATGAATCTATATGAAACTGAAGCCTTAATGTTCAACCTAGAGAGTAAGAGAGGTGAATCTACAGCTGCTGATGTGTTGTTGTTTTTTCTTTTTGTTTTTTGTTCTCTTCCCGTCTGGGTTGATAAATGTGCATGGTGCCTTTTTTTATGGAGCGTCTCTGTCTTGTGGAAAAAAAGGAAAACAAGCAAGGAGGGAAAAAAAAACATCGGGCTACTCTGCTTTATCCATTTCATGCTTGAACCTGTCGAAGCACTTCTGCACTTGGAGGCACTTCACACGAACACTTTAATGGGGACCAGAAGTTGAGGAGGGAGGGGAGGGGGGGGGAGAAAAGACGATTATTGGCAAATATTTCCTGTCGAGCTGCATTTCAGGAAATGGTTAACTTGTGGGACCACGACGCCTCTTCATCCTGGACGTGCTTCATCACCTGCTGGAGGACAATCCAGCCGATCCTTTCCAAGATGTTTGTATTTAGTCGTCTTACTCGACTAATATGTACAAGCTGGCGGTGTCTGCGTTGGACATTTGTGTGTTGTTGATGGTAGTCCCACAAGCATTGCCATAGGACAACGTTTCAAACACTAATGATTTTCCTTCTTGAACATAGAGAACAAATCACTGCTAACTTGATTGCCCGGAGAGAGTGTATTATCATGTCAGTAACTGTAATCAGGAGATGTTATATTTGTATTATCATTGATTTAACAGAGACCGAGAGCTAGTTTTTACAAAAGTTAAGATGCATCACCGCAATAGACTTTGTTACACTCCACAATCCTAACCTTGTCACGGTTGCTGCATACTGTATATATGTTTTTGTCTAAGTATCTAAGAAGAGGGATGGGGGAGTTTTTGGCCAAGTGACTTTGCATCTGTCAATCATGCCTACTCCTTATCAGCACAAATACACTCTTCAATCTTTTATATATATATATATATATATATATATATATAAATATATATATATATATATCTCAAACAACACTAATCAGTTCCCTCCTTTAACAGCTTAAGTGAATGTAGATGTAAGCATTCATCATAAGCCATACTTTCAACTTGTGGCCGTCACACACTCCTCAATCATGTTTTTTGAAATATATATATTTTTTCCAACGAATGTGCAATTTACCACGAGTTTGTCCCCATTAATGAATGTGCATGCACAATCTTTGCCTTCACACCAGACATCGCTCAAACTGGGTGGTTTGTTCACGACATCGTTTCAATGACTACCTTCTATGATACTCCCAAAAAGCATTTGCTCCTGCTTTTCATCTTAACTACAATCGTTCTCCTCGTGTTTGTCCATCCACCCACTCACACTGCGCTTCTATAAAGCACTTTGTCCCTTGATGCACTACAGCACTGACCTCTGCCCCCTCTTTTTGACCATGTCTCGTCTCCTGTTTTGTCGGAGTGCTCGTGCAATGCAAGTAAATATGTTAATCGAGTCTTCGAAGTGATTGTCCCTGGTTTCTGTGTACATGACGTTTTACTTTGTCATGAATTTTGAGGGTTTATTTTTTTCATGTCCTCGTTTTTCTTTTTTATTTGAAAGTAAAGATGTATATTACACTGTGTTGTACTGGCCAGTGTCCTAAAGTGAATACATTCTTAATAAAATGTACTTGACTTGAGCTACAGCCGGTCTCTGTCTAGTGTTTTCCTAACTAAGTTTAACTCTGTGGATGTTTTAAAAAAAAAAAGTGTTTTGCGCTCCTTAATCAAGCTTTGAGTCGATTGAAATTGCATCTTTTAAAGTCTTATTTTAGTAAAGCAAGGGCCATGAATATGATCAAGTTTGATAAGATTCTTTGATGCAACTGTTGCAGATTTGCTTCAAAGTTAAACCTGTGAATGGAAGTATCTGATCCTGCTGATAATACAAACCCAAATTTGTGGGAAAAGTGTGAGGTTTGGTGTGGTTGCGACCCGGTGTAGTCCCAGAGAGTGTGTATGTTAGTGTGTGTTTGTGCTGAGCGAAGCGGTTTGCTGAATCCTCTTGGCTCTCTCTCCCGGTGCCCGCACACAGTGCTCACTGGCAGCCAGGCGGACAGGGAAGGCAGCGTGTGCCAACACAGCTGCCTATTGAGAGGCAGCGTTACGGACACAATGTGAGCGACAGACTTGCTGTATCAACAGCTCCCCCTTTTCTGCTGTTGTGGCCAGAAATAAACCATAAATACCCCCCCTGTCCCTGCCCTCTAATGGCTCAACCCCACCGAACACCAAGTGGCAACGAAAAAGAGGGACACTACCACTTCCTAGCAGGCATACCCAGGTAAAAACCTCACTCTGGACACAGTCGGTGTTATAATTCCAATGAAATGGAGTTAGATGGTGCTGCATCAAGTGGAGACCCAGGTTTGGATGATTTATCATTGGATTGTAATAGAACCTGCTTTAAATATTTTCTATCATTCAGTCGATTCAATGATAACAGAATTTTTAGGCAAACTATTGCTACTTTATCCTCCCGTGTGTGTTTATGTGACTGTGTGTGCTTGGACATGCATGCATGATGGATGGTGCTCTCTCTGCGTGTGTGCTGCTGCCAAAAAAAGTGGAGGAGCAGTGGATCAGGAGGATGTCGGCGGAGCAGCAGAGTGCCCCAGAGCAGCTGGCTGCTGGGAAGAGCCAGGGTGGAGCTGGAGCCACATATAAGGTACTGGAACAATCATGTGAGAGATGCAAACCTGGTTTGATCAGGGAAGGATTGTAAACCTGGAGTGATCCAACACAACCAGAGAATCCTACTATTGGTCATAAAGCTCTCTCCAAAAAAGTCTCCTTATGTATCCTGGTTAACAGACATCGGAATACAAGTTATTCTAAGTGATTGTACAGTATTTAAGAGTATGTATGATCACATATGTCTTCTTTATAACCAATATGAGCCACTTTATGAAGGCCTTTTTCCAAAACAAACTTTATTGGGACTGAGGTGATCCTGACTCCTCTCTGTATTGTTGTCATGCTGGTAAATATGCACCTTTATGGTCCCACTGTGTGATCCAGGTGTTGCTGTTTGAGTTTGAGAACTTCCAGGGCTGCAAGGCGGAGTTTTCTGCCGAGTGTCAAGATGTGAATGAGAAGGGACTGGAGAAGGTTGGATCTGTGATAGTTGAGTCGGGACCGTAAGTAATGCTCAACGTTTAATTCATGTCTCAAGAAAATTGTTTCCTCGATAACTTGGTCATGTTTCATATCGGTGTCGGGTAAACTAAATTGAACCTTTTATTTCCATCTTTTTCCTCTCAGCTGGGCGGGTTATGATCGGCATGGCTTCACAGGGGAGCAGTTTATTCTGGAGAAGGGCGAGTATCCACGCTGGGACACCTGGACCAACAGTCAGAACAGCTACACCCTCTTGTCTCTAAGGCCACTCAAAGTGGTGGGTTGACTAGTCTCCATACAACACTGACACTGCAGCCATAAAGCTCTATAAATGTGCAGGGTTTCAATTATGAGCTGCCCGCACATTACTTCTCTACACACTATATATGATTGTAGTCGGCATATACCAGAGACAGTTAAAAGACTTGCGTCCATGTGTCTGGTTTCCCCTCTATAGGACAGTGCTGAACACAAGTTACACCTCTATGAGAACCCTGGATTCACTGGTAGAAAGATGGAGATTGTTGATGATGATGTGCCCAGTTTGTGGGGCCACGGTTTTCAGGATCGTGTGGCAAGTGTCAAGGCTCTTAACGGAACGTAAGACCCTCCCTACACCCCTACGGCCATTTCTTTTTGGTGTTCATTTTGTTTAATTTACCTGCACAACTCAAACCCTATCATGAGACATGCATCACAGTTTGCCTGGTTTCCCTTCCTCCAGATGGGTCGGCTACATGTACCCAGGCTACAGGGGGCGCCAGTTTATCTTCGAGAGAGGAGATTTCAAGCACTGGAACGACTGGGAGGCCCCTGCACCACAGATCCAGTCTGTCCGACGTGTGCGGGACATGCAGTGGCACAAGAGGGGCTGTTTCACTGTCCCTGACCCGGCTCCGGCTCCTGGCCCAGGACCTGGACCCGACCCTGACCCTGACCCTGCCCCAGCACCTCCTGCCCCTCCTGCCACAGCTGGAGCCAACTGAGCAGGATCCTCACACGCCTACCACCCCTTCCCACAGCCTCCCCCACGCTGCCGACAGTGCCTGTCCTCTACCTTAACCATGGCGAACGATGCTTGTGCCCAATGAGGAGTGCCATGTATGTTTCAGTGGCGAATAAATTTGTTTGACCTGGAATTGGCCCTATTTTTGGTTGATGTTACACTTGTAAGTCACAGTGGAAATAGCTTTAAATTAGATACTAAACATTTAGAAAAACTACTATCAGAGATGTAAAACTGACATCTATGTGGAAATAATGACGCCTATATTATTTTCAAGTCGTGTGAGACACTTTTACTGCCTCAAAGCCTCATCCAGCAGCATTAGGAACACATGACTTATTCAGGGAATATGTGGATACGCATCTGGTAAACAGCAGTGGAAGTGATGTCATGCTTGCCATAAAAACAGCATGCACTGCATTCCCTTCCATAGTCGTCATTGTGCTTTTGATGGTTGATGATCCTAATGATGCATCGTCACTAAGTAAACATTAGGAACTAATGTCAACTATATTAAACTCATGGAAATATTATTCTTATCATAATATGAGCCAATATCTGTATTGCACAATCCAAACAGATGCCATCTGCAGACATTATTTTCATTACATTAAATTGCACATGCAGGCTATAATTTAGTAGATATTGATGTAATAATCTAAAATAGAAACAATTCTTCTCATAACCGTGATAAAAAACAGAGAACACGGTGACACAGACCTGCTATTAACGTATAGCTCCGTCCTGTATATCCCCCTCTGTCTCCTGCAGTGCTCCCCTTTCCTTTAGATTTTCTCACATGAGTAATAAATACACATCTGTAGCATACTAAGGTCTATCACATTGGATTATGAGGAACCTTTCGGTTAGGCGGTTGATTCAGAACACGGACAAATTATGAGGATTTATTCTTAGTGTCACATTGCTGCACTTTAATCTGTATTTTTCACCAGAGCATAAAGCCTTCTTGACATGAGAGGTAAAACCCAGATCCCTAATTCAGATATAGACTAAAACAAGTTGCACTACAATATGGAGCCGACTTTTCTCACCCTTAAATTCTTTGAAAGAAACCTCAATACACGCACAACCTCATATGTTCTTTATAAACTCAGGCCTGTGTTTTGAATCATCACAAGACAGATGGCAATGTCACAAACAGCTCAGTTTTACTCCAGTCTCTCACTGCTGCAATGGGGATACATTCAGACATTGATCACAAATTCTCAGCAAACTCAAATAACTAATTGGTTCTCTCTCTCATACAACGTAATCCTGTTTCTGTTGAACTGAAATTAAGTGTAATGACGTAAAAAAAACATCAAATATCCCAACAGAATAGTAACATGGTTCATCACAAATATTCATAGACCCAAATTTGCCAAAATCTTGAGTGTTTCACTAACTCCTATCCTGAAAGCTCATTCACTGCCTTGTAGCCTATGACATTAAATGGGGGGGTTAAACACTATTCTAACGCATGGATAACACTGAATCATGTCTAGCTGTGAATTAATGATGATCGACTGACTCTGTTTCTGTTATGTCTTTTATGAGATATAGATATCTACAGGAGGTGGAGCGTTTCAGACGTAACATGGGTAGTTTAAGAAAATTGAAGATGCCCACACAGTCTTCATTAAGCACTTGCATGGTACATACTCGATTCATACTCCGTCACATCTTATGTGATAGCCAACAGACGGGATTTGGAAAAGTACTCGCAACTACAAGAACACAGAGAAACTGGAATCTGTCTTTGCACATGCTTCGCCTACGTGTATCTTTTTGTACTTCTTCACAGATGTCAGTGCAAGATCAGTTGAGCGCCCCTGGAGCTATACAGGTGTTCATTTGCTTATTTTAAGGGTTGCAGCACAGCACACATGATGGTGGTCAGCTGGGATGTAATTCTAGACTCTCTGCCTCAAAACTTCCACCAGTAGATGTGGTAAAACTCTTTACTCAATAATAATGATAATAATGATGATTCATAAGTCAACATTCAACATGTTATTAAGATAAAAATACTTCTCTGTCAAAAATATATATTTTTAAAAGACCAGCAAGTGAAAAGTGTATCCTATGTGATCACAGCCTAAACTAGTATTGTAGTATTGCAGCTTGTTGTAATAACTCCATTATATTGCATGCTCCCATGATTAACATCTAAACCTCATCCTGCTAAGCAAGTCATGATAAATAACAATAATAAACATTATAATAAACATTATTTATATTTATTTATCACATTTCAAAACAAAGACTCAAAATGCTCTACATGTAAAACCAGGATTAAAACAGTTATGAGTAAAATAGTGTGAATATAAAATTTAATAAAATACCCAACAATGATCATATAAGCTACAAAAAAAGATAATACTAATCAAGCTGATGAGACGTGTTAAAAATAAAGTGGTTTGTAGAATTAATTAAAAAGCTTTTTTTTAAGTTTTGAGAGATGTCACCGATGCTGCAAGTGAAGTGAATTGAAATGAAGTGGAGCAAAAAACCTCCAGGTAGTGGAGTAAACATATAAAGTCTCACAATATTCAGAAAAAGTACCGGGTCTGCAAAATGGCACTTAAATATATAACTTGAGAAAAGTACTTTATTATATTCCAATTCTGCTGCACTACAAAACCTCTCATCTGAAATCTCTACAGAAGGTTGGATCTAACCTCAATAGTGATACATGCTCTCTGTATTTAAGCTATATATATATTATTAAATATATGTACATATCTAAATGTACACTTATAAAATTAAGTAACGTAAAGTAAAATTATAACACAATATTTTTTCTTCAATAGAAGACAATATTTAATTCTGGGCCCTTGCAAGACTATTTATATGCACATACAAGGTCAATAAAACGAATTAAATAATGAAATGTGACATATAGTTTTTTAAAATGTATCCTCACTAAACTTTTTGGCATTGCGGTAAACAGGTTTGACTGAAGCTCTGGAGCTTCCAAACAGCAGAGGCAAATGTTTTTTTGACATGAAACCTTAATAGAGTTTTCTAGAAATTGAATAACAAATAAATCTACTCTTGTGGAAATATTCAGAGGTATTTGGACTGTAATTCAAATCATTATCAATCTCTCCTGCACAGTGAAACCCATCTTTTACTGTCTTTCTCTCTCGCTCTCCCTCTCATTGTAGGTGTGGGACTCTTGGCACTGTTTGTGCTGAATCATGTGGATATCGAACAATGACTGGCTGGACAAAACTGACAACTAATGAAATAACTTTGTGGGAGTGTGACTCCCCGGGGTGGGGGGAGAATACAGGGTGACCCCTCATTTCAGTCTGCTGGGCCTATGACAGGCCGATCTGCAGGCCGGCTTGGACACTGTGGGGACTGTTGGCAGAGTTTCCACCCCTGGGCGTCCCGTATATATTGAGCTCATCGTGCCATCACAAACACACTGGCACAGACAGGTACTGGTAAGAGGTTCATGTCCGTCAAGCTGTATTTTTTATTAAGTTTACTTTAGCATTTTTGATCAGTATTTTTTTTATTTTGCTGTTTGAATATTTTAGGTTTAATTTATCTTCAAACGGTCTCCCATGTTTCATTGCTGTAATTCTGTGTTCAGAAACTTGTTTTGGAGGGAGAGGGACGGGCACTTTTTTATACATGTGTGTGGGTAAATGTTATAAAGAAATATGTAAAAGTGGGATCAACAGCAGTTTGACCTGCTCATATTTCAGATATAAAGACAGCTACATGTTGTTAATCATGTAGACATCCAAGGATATTTATAAGAAACAACAGATATTATAGTTTTTCTTTTCAGTTTCATCTTTGCCAATCCATTCACTATGGCCACAGACCACCTGAACCCTGCATCCAAGCAGCAGCAGCCAGGCACCAGTGCATTCAAGGTGAGAGGAGATGCAGCAGACATGCAGAGACCAATTAAATTACAATTTACAACTTCTTCCTGCAGGAGTTACACTTGCCCTATTTGGATGCCTTGCATCCACCGAACATCAAATTGTAAACAGATTGACACTCTTGAAATTGAGACCAGTAGCTCAACAACTCACACTCACCTTTTCTCCCATCGGCACACAGCTGGTTATCTATGAGCAGGAAAACTTCCAGGGACGCTGCCATGAGCTGACTGGTCCCTGCAACAACCTCCAGGAAGCAGGCGTGGAGAAAGTGGGCTCCATACTGGTGCTGTGTGGACCGTGAGTGTGGGTCAGAGACCGACAGAGCATTAAAAAATGATTTAGAACCAAACAGCCAGGGAGTGACATAAAGTCCCAGAATAAGGGAATTACTTTGTGTATGAGTACAGAATGGAAGGGACAAAAATGGCCAGAAAAAACAATGATATGTGTGCAACTAGATTTCTTTCCTGCTTTGCCCCCTACTTCAATCACAACCATCCATCTCTTTCTTCCCTGCCCACTCAGATGGGTGGGATACGAGCAGGCCAGCTGTAAGGGTGAGCAGTATGTGTTTGAGAAGGGGGAGTATCCTCGCTGGGATTCCTGGACCAACAGCAGGCGTAGTGACACCATTATTGCATTCCGCACGATTAAAGTGGTAAGAAAGATACCACCCATACATGGATACATGTACCCCCATCAGTCGTGCCATCAGTCGAATCATCCACCTGGTTAATGCTTTGCTCCTCTTTCAGGACAGCCAGGAGCACAAGATTGTCCTTTATGAAAACCCCAGCTTTGCAGGGAAGAAGATAGAAATCATAGATGACGATGTGCCCAGCTTTCACGCACACGGCTACCAGGAGAAGGTCTCCTCTGTTCGAGTTCAGAGTGGCACGTGAGTCCATCTTCCCAACACAGATGTTGAGTGATACTGCAAATAACTTACTTCATGTCTCTTGTCACTATCTCTTCACCTAAAACTGTCTCTTATCTGTTTTCCCCCTCTCTGTGCTCCTGGTGCACCAGTTGGGTGGGCTATCAGTATCCAGGCTACAGAGGCTATCAGTACCTGTTTGAAAAGGGGGAGTATAAGGACAGCACTGAGTTCGGAGCCCAGATTCCTCAGATCCAGTCGGTCCGGCGCATCAGAGACATGCAGTGGCATCAGAGGGGTGCTTTTCACCCCGTCAACTAAGCTTGTGACTCTTTCCTGTCATGAACCCTGACCATGGCCTCACTACCTTCCAGCATCAACCCCTTTGTTCTTCATTTACATCATGCAGCATTTTGATATCTATTGCAGCTGTTGCAGTAGTGGCATTCTTTGAAGCAAACTAATAAATCCTAATTGCTTACATTTGACGTGATTGTGTGATTTACTTGAGTTATTTGCCACTTCACAGTAACATCCTAAAGGGATAACACAGGTGAAATTAAAGTTAGGTCAGTTATGCCAAATGATTTAAAGGGTCTATGGAGGTACCATAAGAAACATTTCAATGTTGTTAATATTGTAGTTTAATGTGCACTTAGTAACTCCGACCAGTAGGTTGTGCTGCAGGAGCTAACGGATGACGTCACTTCCTGTTTTCCGGTGAAGCGGAGCTCACGAGACAACAACATGCTACTTTATCTGTTCGTGTAATACTTTTGTTGTTTAAGTAAGAAAGTGTATATGTTTTAAGTATTTTTTCTAGTGTACTTCGTCCCCATATGCGCAATTCAGATCTCGGTTCATCGAAAACGTTGGTATGAACATGTTACTTAATAGAAATGTGACTACTTAGCTTAAATTGACAAGGAAACGGCTAAAGTTAAAATTAGTACGTCGTTGGGCTTTTATATGAAATGAACAGCCGTGTGCTTAAATTGTATAAAGTCATTTCAAACAGTTAGCGAAATGTTAAAGGTTTTACGGGCTGTTTTTATCAACTTCTTCCCAGGAGGTTTGTTTTTAGGGTATTTAACAGCCACAACCTCACATCTTACAGTATGATGTAACCCGCTCCACCGTTTCAGTTGAGCAGTGCATTGTGGGATAGTAGTATCCACAGCAGCACCTTTAAAGTTAATACATTATGCAAATTGAATCCTTAATAAGTGTACTGAATTTTTTCCCTGCTTAACTTGAAGTTATACTTACAATCAATCGTCATATGCATTCAGGTACATACATTAGCAAAGAGAAAATGATTAAACTAAAGAGCAATTTTATTAAGATAACAGTGAAGGATCTATTAAATTAAGGGAATAATAATGAAAGTTTGTGGGTCAGCTGTATGCATCTTCAACTGAAAAGATGGAGCATAGTATATTAGTTTATTTGACAGACTTTTACTTACATATTTGTTTAACTAAATTTGAATCTCGTATCCAACAGTAAAGATGCCTGTCCTGTGCAGTAACTGTATCGACAAGCGTGCTGTGCTGAAGCGTCCAAAAACAGGCCACTCGCTGTGCAAGGAGTGCTTCTTCTGGGCCTTTGAGGAGGAGGTGCATCAGACGATCGTGGCAGCAAAGCTGTTCAAACATGGGGAGATAGTGGGAATTGCCGCCTCGGGTGGAAAGGACTCCACAGTGCTCGCACATGTAATGAAGCTCCTAAATGAGCGGTACAACTACGGCCTTGAACTTATGCTTCTCTCAGTGGATGAGGGAATCTCTGGTTACCGAGATGACTCCTTGGAGACGGTGAAGAGGAATCAGCAACAGTACGAGCTGCCATTGAAGATCGTGTCGTACGAGGAGCTGTACGGCTGGACTATGGATGCTATAGTGAAGCAGGTGGGACGGAAAAATAACTGCACCTTCTGTGGAGTGTTCAGAAGGCAGGCTCTCGACAGAGGAGCCATCATGTTGAAAGTGGACAAGATATGTACAGGTAATCCCAAAGAGCATTTAGAAATGTGAATGCAAGAATTTCAACTTTGAAATGTGAAAGAGCAGCCTGAATTTAAAAGAGTAAATATGTTTGTTAGAATTTGTTACAAGGGCTGTATCTGTGTTTTCTTTCACAGGTCACAATGCTGATGATGTGGCAGAGACGGTTTTGATGAACGTCTTGCGAGGGGACATAGCTCGTCTGCGCCGATGCACTGCCATCTCCACAAGCAGCGAAGGCGAAGGGGTCGTGCCGCGCTGCAAGCCCCTCAAGTATGCGTACGAGAAAGAGATTGTTCTGTATGCGTACTTTAAGAAGTTGGACTACTTTTCCACTGAATGTATCTACTCTCCCAATGCTTATCGGGGCCATGCGAGGACCTTTTTAAAGGACCTGGAGAGTGTGAGGCCGAGCTCCATAATGGATATTGTTCACTCGGGGGAGAACCTCTCTGTGCGGGAGGGCGTGAAGATGCCTGTGCAGGGGACCTGCAAACAATGTGGCTACATCTCCAGCCAGGCTCTGTGTAAGTCATGTGTGCTGCTGGAGGGGCTGAACCGAGGTCTGCCGAAGCTGGGCATTGGCAAACACCACCTGCTGCATGACAAAATCCTCTCCAAGCAGCCTCTTACTGAGAAGGAGGAGAGGAAGCTGAAATCGGTAGACTTTTGACAATTATGATCCCCTGTTTTATTTACCACAAGACCACATTTTAAAATGCACCATGTGTAGTCTTTTACATTAGAAAAGTCTAATGAGTCAACTGGGATTTTTTTCCCCATTTATCATCAATTAAATATTCTATGATGAGCTAATCAGGTCACTTTTACCATGGATATATTAAACATTATCAGCATCACTTGGATTTCCAAATTCTTGTGTAAGTAGTGTACACCTACTAGGTGTGTGAAGTGCAGACATGAGAAATGTTTCCACAGCGATGGAATCTCACTGGTGGCATGTTTTATTTATTTTTTTGTATTTCATGTTTCTTCTTTATGTTTCAATGCTCCAATCTCTGTGGAGGATATGATGATTTAATACATGCATCATCCCATATCTTCTTGTTTCTCCTGTTTTTCTTGAGGTGGATGCAATAATTAATAATATAATGAAATAAATAAATTTTATCTTATAAATCTGTGAAAACATTATCTGTGAGAACGCACACAAAATGATCATGAAAAAGTATTTTCCGTTTTTTCCAAATACGATCATCCGTCTCGTGAATTCGGCTGATCGGTGTCACTTCGTGTAGTTCCACCTTCTGGCCGCTAGATGTCGCTCATCACCGAGCCTCAAATCAGAGCGCGCGCTCTGCTAAAAGTACACATGCACATATTGCAGCGCGTTCACGAGAGCTATCCCCGACCAACTTCCAGTGCAGCAGCCAGTGGGGAGAAGTTTGGAGAGAGGAAAACTCGTAAAGTTGAGAAGCTACCAAAACATAAAACGGGAGACAGGCCGAAGCCAGGCAGCCACTATGGACGACTTAGGTGAGTTATCGAGTCGTTTGTTATACGCTCTTGTTTTTCCACAGTGAGCAGCGGACAGCAAGGTGGAGGAGTTCACGTTACGAGAGTTTACGTTAAAAAAAACCACAAGTTTCTGGGTCACCTTACTCTGTAAAATGCTGGCTATTTTGCTGCCCAAAAAAATGTCACGGTGCAGTATGACTGAGTGGATGTTTGCCTCATGTTACCCTCTTTGATTTATACACGCATCGTAGCATTGTTAGCCGTTTACCAACCTCCTTTTTTAAAGCTCTCTGTAGTCACGTTAATGTGTCGGATAACACATCGTTATCCTGCACATTTAAACAAACTTACTTTTTCAATTCGTCAGCCAGAGGGAGGAGATATTTGGTTGACATTTTGACACTGAGCTTCAACATTATACCTCCTCAACTTTTGCCCCCAGGCTACTCATTCCAGCTTTGAAGTGGTGGAGTCAACGGGCCTCCCCATTTAGACTGCTCGCTGCAGCACAATGTGAGCTCAACCCTGGCTTATAAAGTGTCTGATGAAACAGACCTAACTGCTAGTGATACCTCATCACTGGCCATGCAATCTGCTGTGTTTGTGTAAATAAATGGGAAAGCCTTGAAACAGGAGACACAGGAGATTAGGACAATAGAAAAACTGGAAATTGTACTGCAAATAAACCCAACATGTTATTTACTATGTCAAAGGTACTGTCAACACTTTCTCCTAGAGGTGAAACAGTATAGCAGTATTGTTGGTAGGACCGTGACCCTGTGACCCTGTTGATTTGTGCTACAAAGCAGGTTTTCTAGGTTAGATTAGTCTAACATATTATCTAGATTAGTCTAGCTGGGCCGGTATTTATCCGTGCACATGCAACACAGACCTTGAATAATGGGGATTCAAAACCCTCACGCTGCACAATCGCCTGTATTATGATCGTACATTTAAGAGTTGCCTTTAAATCATGTGGTATAAAGGCATGAATTAACTTTTAGTTATGTAAGAAATTCACTTGCTGAGTTGTTATTACTACACAATAGTCACGTTTTTAGAATAGAAGACTACCTCAAAATTGCTGTTGGAATAGATACGTTTTCTGTGAACCTATTGCTGATATTTAAGTCAATTTGCCATGATTTCTGATGTGTGTTTTGGTGTTTGTCATTTCCTGAGAGCTGTGAGTTGGGCCTGTGAATAACTAACTAGTTTTCATTGTTCATTAACATGTTGAATTTGTTTGCTAGATCAAATGTTTAGTCTACAAAAATGGTGAAACCCTAAAGTGACATTTCGTAATAGCTCGTTTTGCGTGACAAATGGTTGAATACTCAAATATATTTAACACACAGTGATGCAGTATATTTAGGAGAAAAGCGTTGCAGTTTTTTTTTTGTTGATCAATTAATCCTTTCAGGACTAAAAGTGCGTTTTATCCGCCCTATGTCCAACACCAGCATTGATGACAATCAACATAAACTGAATATGTGTAGCGCTCAGCTATCCGCTCCATCTATTTTTATGTGCCTCATTAACCAGTTTACCTCTCTGGTTCATCGGCCCTTGACCTTTGGCATTGAACCTGCTGAACTTCTAATTCTGGTTGTTGTAGTTTTCACCAGCTGGTCAGTTTGCTATATTTACTTTGCTGATTCAGAATAAACCACTTCTTAAGTCCAGTATCTGTATGAACGCTCCCATTGTACTGATCTCTCCCAGTAGAAAGGCCGTAAAAATGGATTTGTGAATTGTTTAAGCGGAGAGACGATGTGCCGCATTTTGAGTTTGGCCCGATGTGAGAATACCTCCAGGGCAAGCTAGATGCTCCCGCTCCCGAGGGCCACTGAAAGAGCCGATTGTTGGTTGAGAGGGAGCCTGCAGTCTCACTGAAGCAGCGTGAACAGCAGGCTGATGGAGGGGGTGAGGCTGCTGAGGAATGTCGAACATCGCTCTGTGTCAGGGTCCAAGGCCAAATACTCTCTGGGTCATGACTCGCCTCCTACCACTACTCTCAGCCCTGCGCATGCTGTCACCAGAGGGAGGGCCGTCGGTTTCACTCGCTCCTTTTAAAAACTACACTTATAGATTGTCAAAAACGTCTTGAGCTTTGACGTCCGGTAGCCTGGCGATCACACAGCCGTGAAGTTAAACTTTTCTTTGTCCACATCATGTGGAAAACCCCTCCCATGTCCTCCCTAAATATGCAACAACAAACCACGTTAAATGTTTGTAAATCCTTAATGACTGTGGTTTACTGCATATACGTATATCCAGTAAAACCCCCTCTAACAAGCCCCCATGGGTCCTTGTCTTGAGGCTCATTGATGACTGGCGGGTCGACGTGGAGCTGTTTGGAAACCCGATCAGACTCCACTCCTCCCGTCTTCTTTCATTCTGTGGATATTGATCTGCTCGCGTTGCTTAACACTCGAGGAAGGGAATTCCCTCAGCATAGTGCGAGCCGAGCTCCTCTGAGTCACACTTTTCCACATGTTTTCTCTGATCAGTCTTTCACAGTCCAGTGAGGCAGCCAGGCATTGCCTCACTGTTGTTACTGATGTGGCCCCCGGAGTCCTCACCCACATGTGGCCCCCCCAGACCACATGTGACACACTGTCATTTTGGCTTGTCCTGCTCCTGGCCTGGGTCTCATGTTTGTGTGGTATGTAGCTCAGCTCAGCTCTCTGTGAATTCCTCATGATTGTGTGAGATTCAGGCAGACTGACCTCACTGTAGTGTGGAGGCCGTGCTCCATGTCTGCAGGTTAACAGTGAAGAAAGTGGATTAGCATAGACATGCATTATGGGGGGGGTTACTAAAGTGAGAATAACACTTTAGCATGATTGACTTTCATTTTGGCTGTAAATTCTCTCTGTTCACGGATTAACAATGACTGAAATCCTGGGCTGGATTAATGACACGGTCAAGTGGCCAAGGACCCCAGACCCTGAAGGACCCCTAAAACCAGAGGTTCACTGTGTATATCATGCACTATTAGAGCCCTGCCCTGCAGAGGGGCCCTGTGTCAAAATGTAGTTTTAGTACCTAGAATATTTCAGTTGATGCTGTTCTCACATTCTCTTACAAATCTGTGTGTTAAATCAAATTACAACTAAACTAATTTGGGGAACCCAGGGTGAGTCTGGCCATTAACGGGTTAATCCAGCCCAGATCAAATCAACACAGTTCAGTCACAATCGTTGTATATATTTATTTGATACACTGTGTGTTGAAACGAGCGTCTTGTATTATCATACACTATAGTCTCCTACACAGGCGATAGTGTAACTGGTAAGAGTCAGGCTTGCGAGCTTTGTAATGCTAACGTGCAGAAATAGTCATCTGTACTGTTGAAGACAAACATGCCTTTATCTTTATTTACCTAACTTTACTAGAGGAAACAGTGTGCATTAGCCTCCCAATGTACAAACATGGTTTAAATCCTGTAACCCTGAGAAGAAACACGTACTATTTAGCTGTACAAAACAATGTGGGCCTCAGTCTGTATTTTGCTCTGAGGCCCATGTGTATCTCGGGGTTGTGTCTATGTGGGCTGAAACAGACGGCAGCACCTGCTAGATATGCGTTTTGTAAACACACAGCGGTCTTGTTAGATTTACTGTACTATTATCAGTCGATCACCTTGCAGAGGAAGGCCTTATCCTCCAGACAGGAGCAGAAGTTGGCCGTTGTAGAAGCAGCAGCGTGGTCTTAAATGTTTACAGCGTTTGCGCAGCATACCAACAGATCTTAGAAGGTCTTAAGTGCTCTCTGGGTCCCGGTGTGTCGGCAGCACAGAGTTAGTGTTACCAGACGAGCTTTCATCACCCCGTGAGAGCTGCGAGGATGGCGCATACCGCTCCTAACCAGCGGGCTCGCATGCTCGGCCAGAGGGAAGCTCCCGGCTGTAAATCAGTCTTGTTGCCGAGCTCCACACCCATCCTGTTCTGGGTCTGGGGAGGAGAGAGCTGCATAGCTGACCTCATCGCTGAGGCAACAGACCCTGCCCCACATCCTGAGGAAACGGAGGAGAAAAACAATGAGCGGAGTCCATGCTGGAGGCCAGCACACTCTGGTAGAGTGGGCAGTTGTGGGCCCTCGGTGTGTGATCTGGCCAGAGCAGCGTTTTTCACTATTAAATGCTGTCTACTCTTTTTCCTGTTGTCATGCTGTTTCCCTGTTTCCCTGGCCTTGTGCCATGGCGCAGAAAGCAGATTATTTTAGGGTAATGCAGTACGAATCCGAGTCCCTGCTGGGTTCTTCTAGCATTACTGGAGCCCCCCCAGGGGCCAAGTTCAAAGACAGAGGGGCTGCTTGTCTGTGAGCAGGGCAGTACATCTCACTTCTGCCTTCATTTAGTTTTAATATGATTCCATTAAACTCCACTTTTCTCATGTTTTGATAACTAGGATTGGTATTAAACGTCAAAGCTTTATTGATAACTGAGATGTGTGTTTGCAGCACTAAGTATTATGTCAAGTAACAAAATGCTTGCTCATCATTTTGGCATCAGAATCTAACAAAGCTCACTAATCGGCATTAGTTTAGAAATATTGAAAACAATACTCGGTTGAACTGAGATGATAAATTGGGAGAATAATCTGAAACTGTTTTCATAACTTTCAGTCAAATACAGTCTAAAAAATAACAAGCAGGTTGGTCGATAATTCATCCATCAGCTAATGGCTGTTTGGAGCTCAGCTCGGTGTTTTCAGTCAGAGACAAGATGGCCTTTCTTCGAGGGTCTTCCTCAATCTACCCCACTCTCATGGCACAAAAGCCTACTCACTGTCTCTAGCATGCGGTCTTGGAACATGCACGGTATCAATGTGTCCTCAGCGACTGGGTGTCAGTCTTCAGACTTTCCCCTGTCATCTGATTTACTGGTCTGTGGGGAAGTGCTTTTATTTTGGTCCAGCGCTCTCTCACGGGGCGTGTCATCTTTCGGCTATGGGGCTGCTTGGCAGTGTATTTTTGGCTATGTTTATTTTGAAATAATCCCCCTTAGATGCTTCTGTCTTTTCGGATGGTATACTATTACACTCATTCATCCTTTGTCTGTATGAATCTGCGTGTCCTAGTGTACAAACGGGGGGGGGGTTGGCGCGCGCATCTGTAAGCTGTGAGGCACAACATTTTATTTGAATGTTTCTCTCTCGGTTTATCATTTAATCTGTTTGCTACCGGTCAATATTCTCTCCTTCACTCACATTCCCTCTTGTTTGTCTGTTCCTGGTTTCTACCCAGCCTCCCCTGCCTGTCTCACTGGCATCTCCCCGGCCCCCGTCTGTCTTGTTTGATATAAATATCGTGTCGGGTTGGCCTGATGGGGTAGAGTTTCGCTGCGGGGCCGTGGCCAGTTTTGCTCTTTTGCTCCCCGGCTATAAACAGGTGAGCTGTGGACCCTGGTGGGCTATCACCGTTGCCCACATGTTAATAGAACGGATTAGACAGCCCTGCCCCCCCCCCCCCCCTTGCCTGCACTGTACACCTTGCTCTGTGGGAAATGGGTAGGGAAAACATTGACATCTCCCTTATCCTGGAATTCAAAGCACGCTGTAGTTAGTGGAACGGGTCCTGTAATTGTCAACACATTATTTTCAATTTCTGGACTTTGACAGATGGTGTTTTGTATTCAAGCACATTCCTCACCGGCTCTGTACCTAAACTCCTGAGGTTGTGGGAGGAATGTTTGTTCTGCTGGAGTAGATTGTATCACACAGCATCATTTTTGTTTCCAGATAAGACAGGTTGCATGTTAAACGATGCTTCGCTGGGACTAGAAACACCAAATGCCCCCCTTCCTAGAGCCACCATGTCCCCGCCTGATTGCTTTCTTTCTCAGGAACGGACAGAGGAATGTGTGGAATTCCCCATGCACCTTCGCTCCCATCTGATAAACACTGCAGGACTGTAGCAAGGCCTTGGGTGAGTGGGTGGATGGATGGGGAGGGGGGGGTGTATGTGCACAGGCAGGACTGTACATGCACCCACTGCCACAAGAATGTGTACATTATCCACATATCTTGCGAGTTGTTTGTTGAACGTAATGAAGATTAGTTACCACAGCGTGACCACGGACGGTTCCCCTCGGCACAGTGAGCCACTGTTGTATTGTTGACGGACGTTTGATGAATTCATCTCGTGTTATTAGTCCCAGTCATATCCCTTTTGATGACAGCTTTATTCCTCCAGAGCTCGCACAATGGGCTATTGAGTCAGGATGCTGTTGGAGCAGAATTGGACTTTGTCCTTTGTGGCTCCTACCCCCCTGTCTGAAATGGAAAAGATTAGCCTGTTACTTGGCTTACAGCTCGTTTGCATTCTTAATGCTTCGAACTCTTCATGGACCAAAACTTTTCTGAGACTAACGAAGGCTTGTTGTCCGTCCTCATGCCAAACTCAATGCTGCCCTCCTCAGGGGACAAGAGGGAAGCAAGACCGTTAAAGTAGCAGCTTCAATCTTCAATCTGTATCCTTGTGTGACCGGCATTAAATGATATCAAAGAGATGCACTTAATGGAGCGGTGTGTGTTTATTGCAGGCTGCTTAGTCGAAGGCTACAAATGGATGTGAGCTGTGAATTACGGATTTAAAAATGACACTTTTCTGATGCTAAATTTAAACAGGCCTGGCTGTGTTTTAATCTTTCTTTTTCCGGATATAGAAATAGCAGAATCGTATGTGGTGCATCTCCCACTGTGATTATAGTGCCATTCATATCAGTGCTGCAACTAACAATACTTTGTATTATTTTCACAAATTCCCAAATACCAGCGTGACACCTTTAAATCAAGTGTTTTGTACCAGCAGTCTAAAAGCCAAAGATATTAAGTTTACTATCACTTACAACAAATCCTATCGCTGGAACTAAAGAATGTTTGACATTTCTGCTTCAAACATTACTGAACAATTAGTTGATTATTAAAATTGTTCAGCAACTGATCGATTATTTGACTAATAGTTTCAGCTCTAATCTATATCTTCTTTAAATCCCCTTTATGTAGGACAACTCCCAATCTGCAACACATAGATGACACTCACTTTCACCGGGACGGTCCAACTTTTCTTCAAACAAAAAAACACAATCTATCAATTTCGAGGTATTGGAACATACAGTAGCTGCTTTTCCCCACCAGGGAATGAATACAGGAACTAGATGTTGTAGATTAGACAATGAATCTAACTGTAATGATGCCCCCTGTGGAGAGCTACTCTGGAGTCACAGATGTGTAGCATCAGCAGGTGGTGGGGGGGGGGGTATATAGTGAGTGCACACTATTATAGCCTCATAATCTTGGCTCTGTCTACAGGTGTTTTTGGAAAGCTCCAGGCAGTGCAGCTGTCCTCTTCGTCAACGCCACAACGAACTTTCTAGGAATACATTTCAATAATTCGTCTTTCTTTAAGGCGTTTATTATTTTTGACAGCTTCTACGGTCTTCTAAGCTACAAGAGAGAGATGTAAATGTAAACCCTACACTGTATTTTATATGGCTCACCTTCGTTCCAAAACCAGCTGTGGTGTTTTTCTCTGTGGAGGCTTTGTTTTATGAGTGACAAAGTCAACTTCAGTAAGACCTTGTTCAGCATGTCAGCACCAGGTGCAGATTATTTTGAGCTGGTCATGATATTTCAGCACGTTTGCACAGACACGGGCTACACACTGAGCTTACTGCTATAAATAGGCCTGTGCTCCCATGTGGTTTATGTTAAACTCCATGACTTAAACATTCAGCTTCTGGGCCGGATCTCCTTTTGGTCTGAAGACTGGTTGCAGAATATAGCGGACGTCTTGACGTGCGAGAGTCTCTGGTTTATCGCACTTTTCTTGTGAACTTATCGCAGCTCATCTGAGTGGATCATTCAAACTTAAAGTCACATAGATAGATAGATGTGCTTTTGGATGTAATTTAACATAACGGACATAAGCCTGACATCTGTAAAGCTACAATCGTAGTGGCCGTATTTATTTGAGGGTGAGAATGCACTAATGAGAGACACTTTCAGTGTTTCTTGGTAAGAGAAAGGCGCAGTGAAAAGATACCGTCACCCACTTCTGGCTCTCAACCCCCCCCCCCCCAGCTTTACAGATGTCAGGCTTATGTCCGTTATGTTAAATTAC